AAAAGTCCGCATAATCAAAGCTATGGTTTTTCCAGTAGCGATGTATGGAAGTGAGTGCTGGACCATAAAGAAGGCTGACTGCCAAAGAATAGATGCTTTTGAATTGTAGTGCTGGAGGAGACTCTTGAGAATCCCCTGGACTGCAAGGAGAACAAACCTATCAATTCTGAGGGAAATCCACCCTGAGTTCTCACTGGAAGGACAGATCCTGAAGCTGAGCCACCAATACTTTGGCCATCTCATGAGAAGACTACCAACATGAATCTGACCAAACTCCGGGAGGCAGTGGAAGGCGGGAGGGCCTGGTGTGCTCTGATCCATGGGATCACAAAGAGTAAGACATGACTTATCAACTAAACAACAACAACAGATATAAAGTAAAATCAACATATAAACACCACAGAATAAAGCAATAATCGAACAATTACAAATAAGAACTTATTGGAGATGAATGCCAGCTCAGCACACAGGAAGACCAATACCATTCATGATTTCATCACAGATGAAATGGGTGACCTGGATTCTGTCACTGCAACTTCAGTAGAGAAGTGGGCCAAATTTGATCCCTCCAGCTTTACACTTAGTTTAGCAACAGCCTAGTTTTGAAGGCCAGGGAGGTGGAACTGCTGTAATCAGTATGAATTCTATCTATCCCCTTCTCAAACGTTAAATAGGCCGTCCTCTCCAGCTGCGAGGTCTGCTTGTAATGGACCATGGGGAATTCTATAGGTATAACGCTTACCTTGCTATTCACCAATCTCCCTGCTTGAGCTAATAGAGACTGTCTCGGATTTGGTGTTGAAACCCACAGAGCTCATGGTTCTGCAAGACCTCAACATTTATGCTAGGATTGCCTTGATAAAAGCAGCTCCAAACTTCATGACAGCCATGAAGGCAACATATCTTCTGCAAGCTATATGGCACACCTGCCCATTTGAGAGCACCAAGCTACATCAAGATGGCTGTACAAGAAAGAGGAATTTTACAGTAATTCCTCTGTCATGATTTAAGCATTTCACACTGCAGTTTAAACTTAACACTGCTATCCCTATCTGTAGGAGTAGGAAATGATTAGGAACCAATTATTGATAATTGGTTGATAGTTATCAATTGATAATTATCAATAATTGCAGAAATCCCTTGGGAAATTGCTGACTGGTATTGCCATGGACATCTTGAATACTATACAGAAGAGCGATGCAGGCAGTATTATTGTTAATCAGTTAACACTACTGATTCTAAGAACTTTCTTTCGCTGAGCAGACCTGTCAATCCCTTAGTAGTTTAGGGAGCTGAGGACAATCTAGGAAGATAGCCAGAGGAGAAGTATCAAAGCTTTGCAATG